TATTTAAAAATTTTATTATAAAATATGTTTGAAATAAATAATTATCTAAAATATTATATTAGATATTAAAAACATGTCTATATTATAAATAAATTAAACTTGATTTTTATACAATTTAACATATTTATTTTTATGTTTTTATTAGTATTAAATTATTATAAAGTATATTTTTAGGTTTGTAGTTCTAAACAAATATTTAAAAAATGTTTATGATAGATAAATAAGTCATACTTATGACATGTATTTTAAAAAAAAGTTAGGATCAAACTTACTAAATTATAATATAATATAATCTGACTTAACTTATTTTCATCCTTAATCGTAAGCATAGATATAAAAGTTTGTGAAAAATAATTATGATATATATTTATATTTTTAAAAATTATATGTAAAAACTTTAATATTATAAATATATAAATAATTATTGCCCCCCCTATCTAAAATTTTTGGATCCGTCACTGGAAGCTAGGCCTGAGGAGAACAGAGAAGAGAAGCCAAAGGAAAAACCAGTAGAAGAAAATAAGGAGGAAAAGCCAGAAGAAAAGCCAAGTACGGGTTGCAGAACGGGCCGTTCTTCTTAGACAACGAGTCGTTCTCCAACCAGAACGACCCGTTCTGCAATCAGAACGGCCCGTTCTGCTTGCAGTTTTTTTTTTTATAATTTTTTTACAACTTTTTACGTCGGACTTGTTATGTCCGACGTAAATTTACGTCGGTTGTTCCACGTCGGAGGTTTTTCTGACGTAAAACCCCTAAAATAACCGACGTAGAATGTATATTCTATACTAGTGAGCGCCACCAACATGGTTCTTGATCATGCCTTGGGAATTTGCTCCAAGTTTAACCTCATTGTATGTTTTCCTTAGAATTTCTTAAAGCCATGGATATAATTTCTTTAGTTTGAATCTCCTCCATAAAATTAAAAGTAAAAATTAATATAATTATTTAAGGACTGGATTGAAAATATAATAATTTTAATATTAAAATGTAAATGATGACACAGATAAAAATTAATGACATGATATAACTGTACCAAAATTTAAAATATTATGAATGATTTGATAAGATAATATTTGTTTATTATCTTTTTAAATTTAAATATGTGAGATTAATTAGTTGGACTTTATATTGACGGGCTAGCGTGTAGGTGGGAGTTAGAGTTTTATTCAAATACATTAGTAATGTTGGGTTTGCCTCACATGCAATCTAACTCTAACCATACATTGTGATTTGAAGAGGGAAGCGAATCAGATGCAACCGAAGAGGAACTCGGAGAGAAAAATCTTAAAGCTAGTGCCAATCAAGGTAAGTGGGGGAGTGAGAATCTTATTCTATGATGTAGGGTCGCTGTTGGGTAGCGAGATAATTCCCAATCCTAAGATGTATGTAGCTGTCTTGGAGGAGGATTAAACTCGATCCTTTTTTATGAACCTACATGAAATTGAATGTTCTGTCACTACAATAAATGTTACATATAGTAACATACAAAAAATGTCACTATAAGTATAATATATGTAGGTATATATCTATTTGGCATATAACTACACACAATTTTAGTGTTGATTTTGAATGAGATTTAACAACATATTTTATGTGTCACTATAGCTTATACCTACACTTTTTAACAATATACCAACATATATTATATTTATTGTATAGGTAAAAGTAGTTTTTAGTGACACTTATTGTGTCACTATAGAATGTGTATCACTATACGGCAATTTCTTTGTAGTGATGTATATGGTAGATATGTGTATTAATGTGTTGGTTATAATAATTGCATGTAATCACGAATTTGAGTGTTTGTGGGTTTTCCATGGAACCCTAAGGATGTATATAAACCCTTAGGTTGGAGTTAATTCATAATAATTGTAAATTGCATGACTAAAATGTGAATTAATTAGACTACGAAAACCCCTTTAATATATTAAATTGTAGAAAATGTAGAAGTTACATATTTGAAAAAAATTGTGAATTATGTAGATTAAGTTTTATTGATACCACGTCGAGTGGCAACTTAGTCTCATGGGGCATGGATAAACCAGAATGCTCGTGATCTCAACCACATCAGGCGTGAGATTGGTCTTGTTGGGCGTGAAGGTTTGAAATGCTTGCAGCGTTAATGACACCAAGCATGAATGTAGTCACGGTGGGTGCGAGAGCTCCAAAAATCCTTTGGATGCATCTCGCTGAGCGTGCGGGGAGGATCATGTCAAGCGTGATTTCCTTCCAAAGGCTCATAGCCTCGCATGCACTAGGTGTAAGGTGTGTTTCACTGGGCGTGATTCTTTATTTAAATCTACTTTCTATGTACATGTATATGCGAGTGGTTTATGTATATAAGTGATAACGATAAATGAAAGTGATATGTGATGAATTGTGAAGTTATAAAGTGATAAGTGATAAAATGTAATGTGTTATGAATGATGTGGTAAGTGAATTTGTGTTGTAATGCATTGAGTTTTGAATGTCCTGCATTATGTGCATTTGTGTTTTGTAATGGGTATGATGTGAAAAACACGGTTAGAAAAAATCTCATTGTGTAAAAGCTTGGGGATTAGTCCTTGGGGATAGTTTGGTTTGGGAAGCCCCAGACTCGCCCATTAGTGCATGAGATGTATTTTGTGCCACTCAGCTATCTTGACGATATCTTGTTAGTATATCTTTCTAGTGAAAGTGTTGTGATGACTTTACCTAGTATGTACTCCTAAACTACATAGCCTTCGGGCAGAAAAAATATTTTTACTGGCATCACATGCATATAAATTAGGAGAGTCTAGTCTATTTACGATGATAACATTTTGCTTGTGTTTAAACTGTATTTTGATTGATATCATGATAAAATGAGATATAAACTAAGTTAAAATTATTGTATGGATTGATGAGGATTTTAATTATTGATTTTATATATAATGTTTGTTTGTGACTATCCGGCCTTATTGTACACGGGTAGCCGGAGTAAGATATGTTCTCACTCTTCTATTTAATTTTCTTCATAGAAGTTTATATATGATTGCAAAAGACTTCCTTTTTTTAGAGAAATCTAATTGATTAAAGGGAGAGCCCAAATACCTATGATACAAAAAATATTGAATTATGTTTCATGTTTTCTATTTTAAGAATTTTAATTTACTTTCCTCAAAGTATACTTTATTTTAAATTTATTATAGTTAAGCACTAATTTAATTTATTTGAATTTTGAATATAATACTCTTTATTTTGATTTGAAGTTATTTAAGTATAACATTTTTTTTAATTATTATATTATGTATGTGAAATAGAAGGTGTCCTTTGGTATTAGGTTGGCTGATTTTGAAGAGAAGTGTGAATGATCTTGGACGGTAGTTTTACATTGAACCTTCGTTTGTTCTATTTTTATTTTGTCTCTTTGTTTACTCTATTTTGGTGCAAATGAGGAAAGTAGAAAATTGGCATGTCCTTTTGATCCTTTCACATTCACAACCCCTGTCTCTCACACTTAATACGGCAAAGGTTTGCCTCACTAACTTCCCAACCAAAATAGATAGTTCAATTGAATGAAGTTCCTTTCAAATTAACTGCATGTGATTAATCTATCTACAGCTTAAATTTTTCTTTCATTTTCTAGTCAAAGAAGTAGCATAACCTGTAGTTATTTATCGTACGACAGATTAATTTTCTCTACCCCGTGGTAACACTTAAATTATTTTTTATTCATGCAGCATTGATCTTGAAGGTCATGTTGGTCCCCAAAGGCTTTCATAAATAGGAAGTTTGCTCGTAAATAAAATTTAAAGCAGTAATACTTGATCGTGTCGTTTTTTGAGTTAAAATATATCTTGTTTAAATTTCTTGGCACTATGGTGCCTGGGTTCAAGTAGGATTAGTTGAACCACTATTGTTTATTATTTTCTTTGTCTTTTATTTATAGTTATTTAATATTATTTTTTTTTCTCTTTTCTTATTGTTATTTTTTCTTAGATTAATGCCTTATTATTTTTTTTTTATCTTTGATATTGAAGAATGTGTTTATTCATTTTTAACGTTTATTTCTTTTTCAACCACCTAAAAGATATAATAAGAAAATAAATAATAAATAAATTTTAAAAAATTAAAATATTAATTATTTTCTTAATTTTTGTACATAAATCTTAAACATCAAACAATAAAAAATAAAGGGAGTAAATAGTAGTAATAATAGTAATAGAAACTCTTGTAGGTCCAAAAGAGTAATGGTAGTTAGAGAGTACTAGTTATCGATACTACTACTAGAGTTTAGGATATATTAAAAAATAAAATAATTAATATATGGTATATTAGAGAACCAGTTGAATTTATTCAACTAAAATTGAGAGAAAAGATTTTATTAAAAAATTCTTATTTTATTTTATTAAAAAATATAGACTTAAATATATTTTTAATTCTTTAAATTTAAAATTATTTTTAGTTTATGTAATTTTTAAAAATCTTATTTTCATCTCTCATGTCATTAATAACATATGAAAATAACAAATTAAGACGATTATGCAATATCAACTAAATTTAATGTGAGATTTTTACTAACATGAATACTATTAAGTAGATTTTATGTAATAATATTTGATAAAATTTTTAACAAAATTTAAATATAAAAAATTATAATAATTTTTTTAAAATTATAAAAACTAAAAATAATAATTTTAAATCCGAGAAATTAAAAATAAATTTATCCTAAATTTAAAATTAAAAATATATATAAATCAAATATATATATTATGAAGGTGATTTTAAATTAATATTCAATTAAACCCCAAACGTGTGGTCCAACGGTAGGGGTTGATCCACGTTTAAGCAAGGTCAGGGGTTCGAATCCAGCCTTGTGTATGCAGCTGCGTTAGTAGTGAATACTCCAGGAACGAACCTAAAAAAAAAAAAAAAATTAATATTCAATTATATCATAAAAGTTGGACAGAATGAGATACCCTTTTCAAGTTTGGGCCAAGTGGGCCGACATGTTTAACAGCTCTAGTCATTACTCACACACGTGTTATGGAGATGGAATCGAAACCAAGGTTAAGGTTTTTTGTGGAAAGCAGAGAGAGAAATGTTGGAGGCGAAGTGTTTGAAGAAAGCAGTGGTTCCTTCGTCTCTCATCGAGGACCCATCTCCTGGAAGCCTTCAGTGCACTCGTCTCGCTCTCCGTGTATCTATCTATCCATAACATTACTCTCTTCTTCTCCTTCTCTCTGTTTTTTCTTCTTCTTCTTCTCAATTGCTCTAACACTTTTCTTTTGTTAACGTCTCAGGTTAGCGAGGACCCAAGCTCTTGTTTTGTCTACATAGCCTCTGGACCCCACATTTATAACCTCCATGTACACATACATACTTACATCCTTCTTCATTTCTTCTACTTTGGCTCTGCTATCTTTTGTTTTTGTCAAGTTCTTGCTGTTTAGCGGGGAAATACTTTTAGGTGAGAAAAATAGGAAGAAAAATTGAAATAAGCTCTTCATAACTTAAAATTAGCTTGTGCAAGAATTAAAAATAGGATTTTGGAGAAGTTAATCGGATAGAGTTTCTACAAATTAGTTATGCATAAACTGATTTTAACTTATGGAGATTTTTTTTTTCTCTCCTAAAAAATACTTATTGAGAAGTTTATCTAGACCGAACTTAGTTCATAAACATTTTCACTTAAGGCCGCCTCGATTTTAAAAAATTACTTGTAAATATGATTCTTTTTTTAATATTTTACCTTTTAATTTTATGTATTTTTCTTAACAACTAAAACTAATCTTTTACTTATTGTAAATAAATAGGTTAAATTTTTATATTTTGTCCTACTTAATTTTATATATTTGAACCCATTGCAATTAATGCCACTGAGGAGAAGGACATAAAGCTAAAATGAATTGAGCTTCTCCCAAAGCTTTGTCATTCTAATATTTTTTAAGAAGTTGAGGTGCATTAGTTGATTTTAGCTTCTGGGAGAAGTTCAATTCGTTTCACCTTTTTATCTCCTTCTCCAATATGTGTTTGTGGAGAAGTTTATCTAAACATGACTTTAATGAAGTAAACAACTTGTATAATTGGTTCTGCTGATATAAAACGCTACATATCAGTTTGTTGGTTTATCTTGAATTGTATTTGTGGCCATTGTTTTACTTAACTAGAATTTATATTTACTCTCTAGATTGCTTTGGGAGAATCCTCGGTCAGTGAAGGAAAAGATAGCCTCTTGATACCTGAACACACTGAGGTATATATATGGACTTGTGACTTGTAAAGAAAATGTAGTTGTTTGATTTTTACAATGTGATATGTCTGAATTTCACAGCGTGCTACTTTGTTTAGTTTTTCTGTTTCCTTCCTTTTCCAGTTATTTATTATTTTTGTAAGTTTTCATATTATGGTCTCTTGTAGGTTATTGCCTCTTCATTACTCAACCGATGCCCCCATCGTTCGGAAATTCAGAGTATTGCTCTTGCTGATGAGGAGAGTATGTGATTTTGCATCATGAGTGTTCCTTTAATATTTTGTCTTGCCATCAAAATTAGTATGGATATAGCAATTCTATATTTTTTTAACCTGCTATGCCTTTCAGGCTGTGGCTATGTAATGTTGGGAAGTGTGGATTCATATGGTCATCTCATTGTCTCTAAACTAGATGCATCTGGTGAAGGTACTTTTTTTCTTTTTAACTAATTGTTCTGACTTTCCTTGTGTTGAGGCTTAAATTTAACATGAATTTTATTCTTAAGAGTAAACATACTGGCATTTAATTATGATGTTTATCTGGGAAAATATATCTTCATCCTCAATTTATGAATAATTTTCTGTTTCCCTTGAGTTTTTCTCATAGCTGTATTTCTGTGGTGTCTATTCAGAAATAGGGAAATGTGTTAGGTATCCACATTATTGGTCAGTTATAATAGGTTAGTTAGTTAACCATTTGTTAGTTATATTACTGAGTTAGTTGGGGCTGGGAGTCTGGGATAATTACAGAAATAAGGCATGTTGCTTGTAATTAGGAAGAGGGGTTAAGAGGAGGAGGTTCTTGATCAATTGGTAGTCCTAAATCTCTAGAATATCTAGGGAATTTACCGCTCTTTGTATAGTTTCAGTTCTTGGTACCGTACCATGCCGACTTTGGGGTATTGGGAACTAGGCTTCATCAATAAAGATTCAAACTTTTTTATTCACAAATCTGTTCCATTTCTATCAAAATGTTTCTCCATTAGACAAATAATATTTGATGTTTGATAATGGTGATTTGTAATTTTCAATTTTCCTTAGTAGACTACAGTACATGCTACATGAAATCGTACCAAATAACTATATGGGTAAATAGACATCTGTTGATTTGGATATGAATTTTTACACCTCCTTCTGTAAATCATGCAATACAACTGTGATGAGTGCTTGATTTGTTCCAAAGTCATGGGCTATGCATTCAATTAGTTCCGCTTATAAACTTATTTAAACTTTGATAATTTTATCACTCCCTCACTTTCTTTGTTTTCAAGAGTTTAATACACGAACCTCATTTTGCATTAATAGCAATAATTTTGCTGCACTGAAAACAATGTTCTTAGAAATCAAGTCAACCTGCCAAGATCCAAACCTCCCTCCTTAGAACAACAGCACACCTCCCAACTCACCAAGTGATCATATCTCATATTTGTAGCACTACCTATTTTGTGAAATTAATTTTGGCTGTTTACATTTTCCTTCTCTGAGATATTAAATTCAGCTTTTAAATGTTATCACTGAGTCACTGGCTTAATTTAGTTGGATGCATTTCTGCTAATCTACAGATGTTGACAAGCTAACATATTCTGCATTGCCTCATGATAATGGTATTGGGGAAGGAAGTTGGTCAGGACTATGCTTTTGTCCAAATCAATGGTCTATGGTATGCACTTTAGTACCATTAGTGGTGGTTCCATTCCGTCTACAGAATGTTTTTACAGAAAATACCTTGAAGTACTTTTTTTATCTCCAAAAAGAAAAATAAAAATAAAAAAACTGGAAGTGTTATAGTTAGTAAGCTGCATAGACATCTAGAATAATTTTTGCTTTACTTTGATTTAAATATCTTGATAATACACTGTTGATAAATAAACAAGCATAGTTTAAAATATTTGGTCCTATTGTCATAAGAAAATCAATAGCACAGGAGTGAAAGCTGTGGCAGTGACCAGAACTTCAATTTAGCAAGCTTGCCCAAAAAACAGTACTATAGTATGTTGGTTGGTGTTTTCAACTTAAAAATAGAAAGAAATTGTTTGCTTCTCTCTTTGTTTTGATCTGTGACTACTTCATACCTATATATGGTTTTACTAATTGTGTTGAGTTGTTCCTTTAATCAGACAGCAGTAGCCCGTAGTTTCTGCAAAACCATTGATATCTATGACCAAGACATTCACATTCGCACATTACGGCCGTAAGTGGTTTTTATTTTCTTTTTTCAGGTTTAATTATGTGGAAGTAAAATAAGTATCTTCCTATATTTACTTATCCTTTGTTCATTCCTATTCAAATTCCTTCCATGTGGTTAATGCAAAATTGATGACATGCACTTCTAAAACATTTGATACAGACTTGATAAGAGACCAGGAAAAGTTTTAGGAAAGGTTTCTGTGAATTGCTTGAGTTGGTGTACTCAGCATCCTTGCTATGTGTATGCTTAAAATAATAAATGCATTTTACATTGAGAACAATAATAAAAAGTTGAACTATTTCCTATGACTCAGTTTTTCCAATACTACACTATCACTATCACTACCACTATTTTCTGCACTCTCCCTCTAGTTGAACATATGAGCCGAATGCACCATGCCTGCAACAAAAATAATGTCTTCAAATTCCTCTTTGGACTTTCTTAACTTCCAGATTTGGTGATAACATAGAGTTTTCTCAAACAGAATAGCAATCTATTTCAAGATGGCAGTCTTGATTTTGACAACTATGCCCCAAAAGCAAAAGGGATGCTGTCTGACAAAAGTTTTTATTAGTTCACATTTCCTTTTGAGCATTTCTTAGTTAATTTGTACTCTTTCAGGCTTTGGTACCCTACTTCAATAAACTTCCTGCAAAATGTAGTTAATGGAAATCAAAGTTCTACCTTAGCTATTACGGAAGGAAGCCAGGTAAATTTGTTGACCAGTGGTTATAGGAACTGAGAGTTAGGGACGGTTACTGTTCCTATCAAATGGTTTCTTCAATGTTTTCATTTGTTGCAAATATAAGGCACTGACACCCCATTTTGGTGTTATTTTCATGCATTAGACACATGTTTGACATGACACACGACAACATATGTTGACACAGGGACATAGCATGTACTTGACCATGTAAAATTTGAAAAAAAAAGAGACTGGATCTGTTTAAAACTTTTAAGCAATTTTCAATTGTGAAAGGAGAACATAAAGAATGGGTGCTGTAGTACTGATATCATTTCAGTCAACCTTTTCATTTTATGCACTTACACACGCACCAACACACGTACACAAACACTTGTTTGAAAGTGGATCTTGATGCAATACTAAGGTTGTTTCTTTGTGACTTGGAGGTCACGAGTTCCAATCTTGTATACAATCTCTTTGTGGGGTTAAGGCTGCATGTATCTATCCTCCCTAGGCCACACTAGGTGGACCACTCTTTTTTAGTGTATCTCTGTGTTCATAATTCATATCTGCATCAATGTTTGTGCTTCATGTTTTATAATGACTGCTGCCTTATGCTTCATATTTGTATATATTTTAGAGCATCACCTGTTTATACAATTGCAGCTGACATTATGGGACTTGAGAATGAAAGAAAATGGTGGTTGTGTACATCGGATTTGTGGCATCCCTGGTGATATCTTTTATGCTGTTTGCAGTTCTTCCAATGGCAATGTTGCTGTGGGTGGAGTTGATCGTACTGTGACTATTTATGATCCTCGCAGGTTAGCTTCTGTTTTGATTTCAGGACAAAACAAATAGAAAATTGGCTTGTCACTATAGTCTTTGTCAGTAACATTAAACCGTGTGAATATTGTGTAGTAGCCATGACAACAGTTCCCTTTTTTAATTTACTTTTATGTTGCCCTAATTAATCTTAGCCCATAAATACATTTTGATGTAGATGGTCGGCATTGTCTAGATTGGTGCACTGTTCAAAATTTGAGGTCAGTTTTAATAATGTACTTTGCCCTGATCTCTCAACAATTTTGTTTACTACTTTCAGAGAATGTTTCTTAAAGAAATTGTAAAGTTATAGCCGTGATTTTGCAAGTTTTTTTGTTTTTTTTTGTGTGTGTGAGTAAATACATGCACTAAACTAATCTGATTCTCTAATTTGGGTATTTTTTTTTCCTAGACAAATTATCATCTTAATTGTGGATATTACAAGTTAAAGTCAGATAATGTATGGATTGATGCACCTTTGAATTCATTCATTCTTTATGTGTATTGGCAACATGTATTATTTCCCCATTTAAGTCTAGCTTCGTAGGATGCTAATAGGAACTGAGAGTGAGGGACAATTATTTTTTAAAAAATAACTGTCCATGACTCTCGGTTTCTACCATTCATATGCACAGAAGTCAACTAAATCATGCAATTAGTTTGATTAGGATAAATGTATTTGTTTTCTTATTGCTGTATATTCAGTTTCCTGTGTGTAGTTGAAACTCATGGTTTTACACCAAATTATGCTTCACTTTTCTTTAATTCAATAATGTGTATTAAAGTTGTCCTATGTCATTGGGTAGTCAATTTCAAGTTAAGATTAATAAAAATAGATGATGTTATCCAATGCCGATTGCTAGTTAATCAATGTCTTGTTATTCACATCATTTGAGATCTATATTTTCTACAATCTACTAGGAAAGGAAATGGATCATTAAGGGTCGATTGGGTTTGTCAAAATGTTTTCATACTTTCATTTTCCATTTTTTTCCAAATAATTACAAAAAATGCTTCTTTGTTTCCTTCTTATTTATTACTTATACAAATTTGTATATGAACAGGACAAAAAAAATCTTGTTTTCACTGTTTCCTATACAGGTATTTGAAAACGAGAAACAAAGTAAAACAAAGGTTAAAATTTTGTTCTTATTTGTAAAAAATGTAAAAATAGGAAATGAAAACAAAAAAATACTTTCTCAAAAACAAACAGACACTAATATTTTATTTAATCAGTCTAAGCTTCTATAAATACCCTTTCTCTGGGCTGCAATTGGGAGGTATGGAAGATAGTTTTCCAGTCAATGCAGATTCATGCTCATTGAAGTCAATACTGTGCCCTCATGTATTTTAGAAGAAAGGATCAAAGTTCATCTTGTAGATCATTAATGAATTACTAGGGGAATGGGAATATTGGTATAGCATGAAGGTGAGGCTAGTTGTTGCAAATTGTTTCAATAGTGGACCTTTTGACTATAAAAGATATCTAGATTTTTATCTAGTGCTTTAACTTTATCCTCACTCCCATGGTGCTTAAGTTGATTTCCAATGTTATTTGGAAAAGCAATTTCAATTTATTTTTTCATGCTACGTTGGAGGAAATTATTTAAAGGAATCTCATCGTGGATAATATTCCTAAGAATTTGATATTTAACCAAACCGAATGGCATCATGTGATTCATATAGGCTGATGCCACTTTGTGATATAAGACATGTTGTGTCGTGTGTGTAACTTTGCTTCCATAGATTACTGTAATTGATTTCATCAATACTGCAGATAACAGGGCTGAGTTTCTCAGCAATTGATCCGGACTATATCTATATTCAAGGGGTTGATTATGAGGTATTTTTTCTCATTTTTTAACCAATGTATAACTACTATCGGTAATCAAGATAACAAGGCATAAGAAAATGAAGGATGGGTGGAGAAAGTGGGAACTATTTGGTTTTATACTTTTATGCCATTGAGGTCAACTAATAAGTACATACATGTCAGGGCAATGCCTTCTGTATGAACTCATGCCATGGGGATATAGCACAAATAGGGAGAACGCACAACAGAGAGGGAGAATGAGAGTCACACGAGACATAGAGCAGGAAAAATACTTTGTTTTGGGAAAATCCTAAGTGAAATGTGCGTTTTGGGGGGTTTTGTGAGTGAAGTCCGTAATCTCGCAATATCGAAGTAAACTTGTGAGATTATTCGAGATTACTCAAAAACGAGACTACTAACGAGTTATACAGGTATGACCAACTAATCTCGTAATCTCGTACGAGTTTACGAGTTATCACTCAAGATTGATAACCATGATCTTGTGGATTAGGGCTTGGGATAGGGCTTTCTATGATTAATGATTTTAACAGGAAAGCAAATGGTTGGTGAACTCTATTTTTCTGTACTACAGTCTACTACTTGTTTGGTATGGATTTTATCACAGGGCTTTAGATGTGTTAGTAGGGGTTTCAGACATGGCTCTTCCATGCAAAAATTGAAGTGTTAACATTTGGTGTATCAAATGTTTTAGTCCACTTGCTGCAGAAATGATATAGCAGCTCTTTAAGCTGAATTTCTATAACTCACTATAGTGAGCGTATTCTGAACGGGTTTTGTTAATGTCTGCCCCTTAGGGAACATGTTAAGGAATAAAAAATAATAATGAAATGAAAAGTACAAGCATCTAATACCTTACAATTAAAGGGAAAAAAAATTTAATGCTTTATTTGCGTAATTAAGATGTGCAATGAATGATATTTTTATTCCTTAACAAAAACCCTTTTTTGATTACTTTTTTACTTCATGCCCATGCAGATCTCGTAATGCTCTTCCATTTGTTGTAACCAATGCAGGTCTTTTGTGGACAATGGAAAGAGAACAAAAAAGTATTTTCATTTAGAGGAGACTCAAATTGGCTCGGCTTTAGTAAGGTTTGTATACAGCCTGTTTATGATTTATCACTTGACTTCACTGTGGTATATAGTCCAACTGAAATAGTGAAATCTAAATGTTGCTTTCCCATCTGCTGTCACATAATATTTTAACATTTTGGTATCTGCTTTTCCATTTGAATGAAATTTACACTTTCTGCTTTTTGTAACTTAAATTGTGCAATTACTTCTCATCCATCAAAACGGGTATATTTCTAAAGCTTAGTGTTGTTTATATTTTTGAACTTCTAGCATCATGTTTTAGTTGTGTACGGCCATCACTATCGACATGTAGTTATTTTTAGATTAGAAATCAACTCATACTAATACTTAGAACTATAAAACCAATTCTTGTGTCTGTTAAGGAGAATTGTTCTTTGACCTGGTAACAAAGTTACTTTTTCTTAGAAGAATGGAATTAGTAAGGATCATAATCCTGAATGCTTTGTCACATGGTTTTCATATCGTGTCAATGAACAACTCATGATTCCTGAATACTTGGTTGTGTTTTGATTTGATTTGACATGATATCATCAAATCCAATGCAACTAAGTATTCAGAGTTCAAGTCCTTACTAATTCAATTCTTTAAGAAAAAGTTAAATTTCAACTCAAAGTAGAGTGAGCCCATGCATTGTCAACACTTGAAACAAATGGCTCTTGCATGCATGAGTGGGTGTTTTAAAGAGCTCGTGTCTGCACCTAATGGCTTAAGCTCTTGGAGAGTTGGTCATTGATGGTAATATATCAGTTTACATGCTTTTACATGGGGTCAAACTTAGGCTCAGCACAATATCTTGGAACATCTTAAGATGTGCGTACATAGTTAGTAAGATTTCACTCTTCACAAATAAGGATGAAAATAAATTAGGTCAGACTATGTTATTATAATTATTTTTTACAAACTTTTATATTTACGATTACGATTAAGGATGAAAATCAATTAGGTCAGACTATGTTATTATAATTTAGTAGGATTGAACCTAAGTTTTCTTTAAATACATGTCTTAAATACGACTTATTTATCTATCATAGATATTTTTTAAATGTTTGGTTAGAATTACAATCCTATAAATATACTTTATAATAATTTAATACTAATAAAAACATAAAAATAAATATGTTAAATTGTATAAAAATCAAGTTTAATTTATTTATGATATAAACATATTTTTATATCTAATATAATTTTTTGGATGATAATTTATTTCAAAACATATTTTATAATAAAAATTCTAAATAGAATATAAATCTTCCAATATTTCCTATTTTGATTTTTTTAATCAATACATGCATAAATAGAAAATACAAAAGGTAAACATATATGCTATAAATTTTATTTTATAAAAAATTAATCTTTTTTAAAAATTAATTCGTTATTAAGGAGTATTCTTTGTCACATATGAGAACTAATCTCTTTCAAAAGTTTGATAAATATCAAATAAATGAACAACTCTTTTAAATTTATATTTAATACATATAATAAGTTATATATATATATATTTATTTTATTAGAATATAATATTTATTTTTAAAAATATATTATTTTTTATAAAAAAAAAAGTGTGTAAAATGGTAGTGGGGACAAGTGCCCCCACTCTCCTACACATAGATCCGTCACTGCTGACATTAGAGAACTTAGCTTGAATCTTGCAGAAGCACCCTTCTTTGTCAAAATATAACCATTTAACCTTGGGAGAATTGTTATATAATTGAAGTGTGTTAAAGAAGTGGAAATGTGGGTTAAATTGAAAGAGGGAAGCGAAAATTAGCAATGGATGTAATCTTGTAAGCATGTATGATGATCGATGACCAAGTACATGGTGGCTGTTTTTAACTTATCCTTCTCATCTAAGTTGAGTTTCACCTTGCGGTTCTACGAAGCACATAAAAATGTAGGCTAGATTCTCTTCTTCTGGAGCTTTCTCTCTGTTTTATTTTTAATCAGTTAATGGCTTTTACTTATATGTGAGATATTGGTTCTACTTACATCGCAGTGCTCTGGCAAAGATGTTTTGGCTGGATGGTGTGATTCAGGCAGCATATTTATAGCTGATGTTGCGAGTAAAGTTGATGAAGTGGTGTCTGTCCAGTAGTTTTCCCATCTATGTAGAAAATTTTGTTACTTCAATGTATGTATGTAACCATGGTTGAGTTTCACGTTTGAAGGGGAAAAGAAAAATGGTGAATTTAGTGTGATTAAGCTTGATATGCAGAACATGTCAAAATGCATTTCCAACCACAGAATGTGACTTAAGATTACGGAATGCATTATTTTTGTGCACTGTCAATTTTATGATGTTCATTTTAAGTTCCCATTTTGACAATTAATTATTGAAATATCAAGGCTAATTGTATGGTTTATAAAGAAGGAAATTATTGTGTTATCTAGCATTTGAACATGCTCATATGATCATTCAATGAGCAGATAGTACTTTTAGTGCCCAAGATTCTAAACTTTTTTTCCTGGCTTTCCCTTTATGTTTTGTACCTTGTTAAACTTTCAGTATCATGTAATACCTTTATATCATGATGTTGATACTGTTACCGCGTATCATGTAGATTCTCTCTCTCTCTCTAAATATAGCTTTCTCTTCTTCCATGCTTTGATTATTTGGAAAAGAAAGCTTAAATTATTTTGGAGTTGCCATGGTCGGTGAGATTGAGATTCCATTTTTTAGGCTTGCTTTTTACTGTTCTTTGTTATTTTTTATCTGAGATGTAATTTGCAATAAGTTGTTGGCCTATATAATGGTTCACTCACAATTATATTTTACCAATACACAACTCTTATGCTAAAGAGTGAAAATTTGTAAGAATAGGTACCAATATTATCTCAGAAAAAGTGGATTATGGGTTTAATACAACATTATTAAGCGAAGTGATAAAATGATGATTATTCTTTATTTATATATATTATTATAGTCATTCTTTTAATTGATGCAAGATTTCTATAAAAAAAAAAAAGATTATATGATATGATAAAAAGTGTATTTATAATATGATTATCAAAAATTTTATATAGGCCAACTACCAATTACAAACTACATTTCTAATATTTTGTTTTCTCTTCATGATCATTATTATACTCATGCTAAGCTAAGAAATTGAAGACCCTGAAGTGCAAATTGAAGTCAATGACCAATGCTAGCGTGGTCCCATGTTGAGTGTTTCAAAGCTATGAATCTCTCAAAGGTCTTGGTCAAGGAGCTTGTTGCCATAAGGATGATAAAATTGAGCCATGCTCTCTTGTTGGGGAACTATAGGGATAGACTAGGTATTGGTTGTTCTGTGTAGGGGACAAGCAAGAGAAGGGTCTTATTATTATATAGACCTTCTTTTGGGAAAGCACCTAACCAACTACCTATTAAAACCTCTTTACACTATAGACTAATCAAATATCACCTTATCCATGCACCGCCCCCACTTTTATATTATGGCATAGCAAGTGCATTAAATCAAAGTTATGAAGATAGCATTTGAATTACCACCGACTTTAACTCTTGGATTTGAGTGTGGTGATGCTGTTTGGGGTTTATGTTCTTTCCCTCCATTTTCCATATTTAGGTGCTCTGGTGATGCTGTTTGCGGGTTATGTTCTTCCCTCCATTTTCCATATTTAGGTGCTTGTACATCTATCATGGAACTCACCATTTAGTTAATATTTTTGTTGGTAATTCACACATGGGACTCTTAACCACAAAATGAAAATAAAAATTATCACAAAACATCGGATTGAGATCCTATGTCGTCAGTTTTTGTCATAATACAAAAGCAAAAGAAACAATGATTATAGGAAAGTTTATTATTATTTATGTTAGTTTTATTAATTTTATTTCTACGCCTTATCTTAAGATGATATTATTATGTCGATTAAACTGGAGTTCTGATCTTCATACAATATTTTCTTTTCTGTAATTTTAGTTTTCTAGTTTTTAGTTTTACAATTTTAGTCTTCAATTTTGTAATTTTTTTTAGTTTTTAATTTTATAATTAAGTTTCCAATCTTATAAAATCTACAATTTATATTTGATCGTTAAATGTTCATTTGTTAATTGTTAAAATTATAACATTATAACTTAAAATTAAATATATAACATAATAATTAATATTTAATAATATTTAGATTAAATTACAATTTTGATCCTTTTTAAAAAAAAATTATTTGATTCTCATCTTCTTTTAGCACATTTATAAGTAAGAAATGAAACTAAAAATATAACTTAATATAAATACCATTAGATATTAGTTTTAAATTTTGGTTCATTATCAATTTTACACTTTTAGTATACAGAGTTATAAGTTTAAATCTTATTATCATTATTATAATTCTTATTAATAAAAGATAGTTAAATCAAAATCATAAATTTTGTAAAATTAAAAATAAAAATCATGAATTAAATAATATAAAGAAACTTAAAAGTATAACTTATCCTTTTATCTTAGCATTTAATTTTACGCTTTGTCCCGGTCAAATACTAAATTAAGATAAATAAACAGAGCTTCGAATTGTCAAGATTTATTTGTATAAATGAATTAATTCAATATTTTAGACATGCATTTGAGAAATTTATTACAAAATTGAGTCTCAGCAATTGAATGATATGGTCCTGTCATAACCCTAATAAGATAAGACAGTGACTACTTTGGTTTTTCACCATTTGCATGTGATGAGGACAACATTGTCTTTTCAAAGAGAACTTATTTTGTGCGATGCAATTGGACTGAGCCAAGTAAAAGTTTGACCTCCTCCACACATGGGGAACAAGTCCAATTCCATAAACAATTATTGCTCAATTTATTGAAAATTTAATATAAATTGAATAAAAGATTCAACATGGATATGATTCTTTTTTCCTTAGTAAATATGATCGTGTCATAGGCAGAGACGCATACGTAATATGTTACATATTCATTTCCCAAACATGCTTTAGAAAGACGAGAAGAATCTATATTCTTTTAATATTTTTAATAAATAAATACTCTTCTAGAAGAGATTTTTCACTTCTTGAAAACTCACGTACGGACATAGAGACATTTTATAATTCCGATAAGAGAAATGATTCATCCTCCCAAATTTAACATCCGAAAAATCTTTCAAAATTTTAAAATTTCAAAATATTTTATCTAAAATGATTGACACATGTAAATTATTGTCTGATTCAAAAGATTTTTCAGAGAATATAACATTTCCCTTAGGATAATAAAAGAAAGGAAAGAGAGGGATAAAAGTAATATAATTAAGAAAATTAAAATAAAAGCTTTATCTATTATTCTTTTTTACCATTTCAAACAAAGCGTAAAAGACATTTAATAGTTTTTTTTTATAAAAAAATTACCCTTTTTAACTCTCAATTTTTTTTATAGAAATTGTTTATTAAAGGAACGTATCTAATCATTGTAATTTTGTTTGGACATAATTTTTGAACAAAAACAATTCTTTCTTGAAAAGCATGCAAACAAACGAATCCTAAACCAAAACAGAAACAAGGAAATATTTTGTTTAAGAATGCACATAAAAAATTTGAGGTCTTCCTCTGAGCTACGTGTGTGGATTAAGATGGCAGTATCGCATGATTAACAACGTACCATCAAATAATTGATTTAAAATTTTCATACCAAAACGTTTGATGGTTAGTCATATCAAATCTTCTTTTGTGCTTAATTTGAAGGATAACGTTTGATGGTGTATCATCATCATCTAATGTCATGCGCATGCCAATAATTAATCAAGCTTTGTTATGAAGCAACTCAAGTTTCCATGTAGATGTTGAATGGAACAAATTCTTGGGGGTGTCAAACTCTTTCTTTTTTATTCTTTTTTCTTTCTTTAAACCATAAAAAATAGTAAAAGAGAACACGTGGATACATTAGTCTATAAAGTCAAATACTCGGGTTCCAACCACATTTGCAATTTTCTATGTAATTAAAGATCGATTTTAAGTTTTGGGGTTATGAGATTTTGTGTTCTAGAAAGATGGGATTAATTTCTTATCAACAATTTGGTGTTTTGGTGGGGCTTGCCAGCCGTAAGCCAGTGAATACAATTTGTCATGTGCCCTTCAGAACGTATGTACCTAATCACTCATTTACTACACCCATCATCGTTGTTTAAGATTTTTATATATAGATTAAAAGATAATTATAAATATATTACTTTTTATGTGATTTTATTAAAATAATTTATTTTTTTTAATAAATTACATTTAAGTATGGTAAGTGAATAGTTTATGAAAGGATAAATTAAAAAGAATTAATATTATTTGAAAAATAAAAACATAATTTTCTTAAAAATATTTTTCAAATATTAAAATTATAGTTATTGTGGAAAGGAAAGGGTAGTATTTAAAAATTAGTAACTTCTAATTAGTTATTTATAACATATTTACATTAATGTGTATTATTAGTACTATCAAATAGATCGATTAATAAAGAGTTATTCCAACTTAAATAATATGAGAATTACTCGTGAATACAAAAATATAAAAACTTCTACATTGATTGTTAGTTATGAATAAACTATTTTAATTAGTATGAAAATTAACAAATTACATACATGATATTTTAGGATTAAAATAATATAAATTATACTATTAGTGTATATATTATTTATTCCCTACATACCTCTTTTTCTCACTCATTATTGATGAAATGGAAATTTCATTTCTTAAAAATGCAACATTTAAGATTTTTTTTTTTTTATCGTTTCTTGAATTAAAATTATAATTTTATTTTAATAATCGGTGTTGAATTTTAATCTTGATTTTTATTACGTGAGTTATTGAAATAACTTTTGTTTTTAATCAAAATAAGGTTACTACAATACTATATATATATATATATATATATATATATATATTTATTTATTTATTTATTTGTATGCTATGTTTTTTAACTATTATCTTGTTACTTTAAGAAATTAAAACAAGTGCTATTGCTACTAAGTTTATTATATTCTCCTTCATAGTGAAATTAAATCACATTGCCCAAGAGTGATCGAATCGGCAATAGATTAAGAAAAAAAACAACAATCAATAAGAACCCATTTTATCATTTTCATAACTGACTAACTGAGGAAAGAGCAATCCATCACATATGTAATGTAATTGTTTAATGATCTTAATGTTGATTTTCATATTAAGCAAAGAAGAATAAAACAAAAAAGTCTTTTCTGAATAATTTAGGTGTAGATTCTCTTCTAGAATTTGTTTCTGAAAAATTTATTTCTCCATCTAATAATTGTGGGGGCTATATTCTGTCCATTAATTATATCTATAGTCTATTTTAGTTATCTTTTCACTTTCTGCAGCATTAAATGAATACGAAGATAAGATGCTAATCATTATCATAAAGTTAACTTGTATGAAGCTGTACAAAGTTAGAGTCT